TTATTAAATTTTATGTAAAGTGTAGATCAAGCCCATAGCAAAAGAAAAAAGGGGGGGGGGTGGATTAAATAACTCCTTTGAGGGATAACTAAAGGTTTTGATGAATGAGTGACGAGGAAAAACAAAGATAATTGATTAAGAAAAAAAAAACGAAGAAGAAGAAGAAGAAGAGGGGGAACAAGATGTGGAAGAGAGAGAGAGAGAGCAAACAAACGAGACAGAGCTAGAGAGAGAGAGAGCGAGAGAGGATAGATTAGTCGAATGAAGGAGGAGATGTAGGAGACCAATGAGGAGCAAGGGGCAGAAGGACAGTGATGTAGAGACGGAAGCACAAAATAAGAAAGAAAACTATCACTAAAACCGTAGATGATCGGGCCGAGAATGGAGAGATGTGGGAGTGGAAGTGAGATTCAGAGAGGAGAGAACCAAGAAAGAAGATAATGAAGAGGACCGATTGATTGATTGATTGATTGTGTCTGTGTCTGTGTGCAATTGTGGAGTGAGGACATAGTGATTAGTTGGTTCGTGGGTTGGTTGGTTGATGAGCGTCGATGGCTTGGTTTGGTGGGGGTGGAGTTTCGATGATCTGGATGTGTGGATTTCAGGTCGATGGCGAGCAACCAATAAAGAAGTTTAAATCAAAGATCACACCAAGAGAGAGAGAGAGAGCAAAATGAGAAAGAAAGACAAAAAAAAAACAATCGAGAACAATAAATAAAAGAAGATCGATGCAATTCCAATCTAGACCAAAATCGCAACACATATATATATAAGATTGGAGTTTATAACTCAATTTCAAAAAAGATAAACTCAAGGGGAAATCAAACAAAAAAAAAAACTTATAAAAAAAAGAGAGAGAGAGAGTTGATGTTGTTGTTGATGATGATGATGATGAGAAAGAGAGAAAGAGAGATGTAAGAGACAGAGAGAGGGAGAGGCAGAAGCGGGCGGAAAAGAGAAAGCGAGAGGAAGGAGGAAAGACTCGATCGAGAGGGGCCTCAAAGTCTGGGATCAAGGATCCCACGGACATCAGGGACGTTGGCGATATCGGTCAAGAAAGCGGCCAAGTCAGTCAGCCTGATTAACCAAAAACACATCAGTCAACAATCAGTTTATTTATTTTTTTCTTCCTGTAAAGAAAAAAACGGAAATGAGGGAATGAAAGGAAGAGGGAGAAGGGAAGAGACATACTCGGTGTCATGTGGGTCGTTGAACCATGATGAGACCGGGACGGCGTTGTTGGGATGAAAGACGTATGAGGCGGGCGAGTTATCAATAATTATGGTATCAGAGATCGGTCTTCCTAATTGAGATAAATCCTGAATTCACCCGAAAAAAAAGAAATCAGAACTACATAAGGAGCAAGTGATAAAACAGTTTCAAGAGAGGACAAACTTTAACGTAATTGCCCTTATGATTATAACAACTTTCGCGAAACAGCCGATGTTTGACGACGTGATGGATGTCCAACATATCGAGCACCGGGTCAGCATACTTGGACAACGAGGCCGTGAAGACGACCACCTCGTAGATCTCGCCCATCTTGCGCATGAACTCGTCCACCCCGGGCCGCTTGATCACATGGACGTTATGGACCGAGTTTTCGATCTCCACTGGGACTACGAAATCTGACTGTGGAATCACCTATAAAAAAATTAAAAAAAATTCATTCTCGTTTCAGTTTCTAGGCTTTCAGGAATCAAGAAAAAAAAAGGAAAATAGAGAGAACGGGAAGGAAGAAAAGATGGATTCACTTTGAAGCTCGAATGCACAAGTGTTTCGTCTAAATCAAGCACCAGACATTTGCGGCCCTGAAGGCTAGAGTCGAGGGGCGCGAGGAGGGGCCTGGGGGAGCCGTCGGGGGCGAGAGGGATGCCCATGCCGCCCATGGCGACGATGCGGTCCTCCTCGTCATCATCGTCCTCCTGTTCGTCGTCGTCGTCGGAATGTTCGATATCCTGGTAGGTTTGGTTGGGATCATCGGGGCCGAAGCTACTGGGCTCCTCCTCGGAAGACTCGGTCTTACTCTTGATGTCCTTGCTAGAGTTGCTTTGTTGGTGGATGATCGAGTTCTTGGGCGAGTCCGAGTGGGTGCGGGCCACCAATCGCAGCCCAGAGATCGACTTCTTCAGCGCTATCGTGTCTTTGCCCGGTGGCACTACCGCCCCACTCAATACCCCTTCCGTCTCCGCCATCGGCACTTGAACCCCCGCCCCTCCATGCGCATTCGCCGCAGAGGTCGCCGCCGCCGCTCCAGCAGGCGTCACCGTGTCCGAGACTGGGGTGGGTAGACATTGACTGGATGGTGTCCGTCGGGCAAGATTGGTCGAACTCCTCCGACTCGTCGTGTTGTTGTTGCTGTTGTTCTTCGACTTCCTGAGATGTTGTTTGGCAAGCACTATTGGCGACCGTCTCGACGTTGTTGTCCCTGAAGGCTGTAACGAGCTGGTTGTGGTGGGTTCTACTCGTTCGCTCATCTCTCGTGTTGTCCCTGGAGAGTCCTGGGTCGTTGGGCGTGGAGGAGGTTTGCTGATCGTCGTCGAATGGTCGTCGTGTAACGAGGGATGGAAACAGGGAAGGAGGAAGCGGATCAGTTTCTTGCGTGTGGGCGTCTTGGGCTGTCGACCGGTTTTTGTCGGGGTGGCCGATGGTCCCGCTTGAGAGGTCGTCGGATTTGCAGGTGGTGGCTTGGCTTGTGCGACAGATGGTGGACATGGCTGGGGACTGGTAGCAGTGGTGGTGGTGTCAGTGGTTTTTGGCTTGGAAGCCGAGGTTGTATCGGCTTTCTTTAGGTCCTGCTGAGCGGTGGTAGATGTGAGAAGAGGATCAGGCTCGGGGGTGGAGAGTGGCTTGTTGGTGGACTGATCGGAAGTGATTTGGAGTGTGGAGTCGTTATTGTCGACGAGTGTCTGGTCAGCCGTGGTGGCGATGGTATGATAGGTACCTTCCCGACTGGCCGTCGACGGTTCCTCAGGAGGGATGGTGGTGGTGTTGTTGATGATGCTGGCTTGCGAGTCTGCTTGGTGTTGCTGTTCCTCGGCTGATGCGGATGGCTTGTTCTGATCGGCTTGAGTTGTTTGTGGGTTTGTTTCTTGAGTAGATGGTCCTGTGTTGACCTGGTCGGATGGGGGAGAGACTTGGGTGATGAGGGAAGCAATTGCCTGAGAACGAAAGGTTGTTGTTATTAGTTTTGATTTATTTGTTTTCGATTGTTTTAGTTGGATGCATACCTCTGCTGATGGTTGTTCGTTGATGTTGTTATTGGGTTCAGTTGTTGCTGTTGTTGTTGCTGTTGCTGTTGCTGTTGTTGATGGTTGGTTGCTGTTGTTTTCGGTTGTGATGATGGTCATGATGGATGGATGGGATGGGATGGATGTGATGGGGATGGTGGTTTTTCTATTATTATTTTTTTTTATTTACTATTTTTTTTTTCTTGAGAAATGAACGGTGGGGGTTGTTAAACTACTTTTTTGATTTTTTGGGAAGGATATGAAGATTAAGTGGGCAGTTGAAGGAGAGGAGTTGAGGGTATCAATCTCTTTTGCAGAACTTTTTCTGATACATAATTAATTCTGTACATACATTCCAAAATACTGCACCCTAAACTTAAACTAACCCCAGTTTTAATTTACTTCTACATACACATGCTGTATGTATGTATTCTAAAAAAAAATAAAAACACTTCTACATAAACTAGCATACACAAGTTAGTTTACGTAATCAATACATTCATACCCATGCTCATGCTCCTCCAATTCGCCAATCGACCTTGCAGAAACTCCCTTCTTCCTGTTTTTCGTTGTTGTTCCTCAGGGGTGTCCTTGACCAGCTGATCCATCCTCCAGCGCGCGCGCGCACTGGGCTCTTAATAAACTATCAACTGCGTTCAAAAAAACATCAAAAGCTGTCATCGTGTCAAGTGGTGATCCGGGCTTGCAGGTATAAAGCGCCCCCAAAGATCCAAATCCAAGGCTGCAACATACATATATCCGGCTCTAAGGGCAGACATATGTAACCAGCAGATGATCAGGGGCACCAACAAGATAACTTTCACCAAATCACCTGGGAGCTGGACCAATATTGGCTATAAATCCTGCCTCACTCACTGTGCAGTACTAAAACAAACCCCAAACCATCAAAAATTGGGTGATGACTCTGTCAACCCCAATGCCCAATGCTCATCACCCCCAAAGAGCCTTTCTGATAGTGGGGTTGAGAATTTAGATGCACATGGGCATAGTGGATCTCTTTTGAGGCTGAATGGATCTGTGACCCATCCCACATCAGGAGCTGTCTGTCACCCTACTCCAGTGTCTAACTTACATTCCTGCTCACTTACAGATGAACTGTGGGAAGAGATCAATAGTTGAGATGAAATGTGTGAATAAAGCAGGTGAAATGATACCGTGTATCTACACTGTTTTTCAGACTCTCAATCACCCAGCAAGGTTTGAATCCATATCATACAGTGCATTAGCCACATACTCACTACACAACCGAGCAATCATTCAACACAACTCCAAATCTGTATCAATTACAGGCTAAACCCTTTTGGGAACATGGATTAAGTGTTGTGATCTGAGACTTGTAGAGATGGTCGTGGGGTATCTGCTGCAGATACCCGCTATCCGCTGGCGGATACCCCCCAGCGCCAACAGATACCGGCCAGGGGGTACAGATTCTGGTGTAGGTGTCCTCTTTTCCCCCAAAGCCTGGCGGATATTGGGGTATCTTCAGGGATACCCATGTCCAAGAGGATGAGAGTGGCCGGCTGGAGGAGTTTCCTTCCAGCCGGCAAGGTCGTGCCTTGCTGACCATTTAAAGGGTGGGTGTTTGTGGATACCCGCTGTGGCCGCCGGATACCCACCAGCAAATGCGGATGTCCAATTCTGCTAAAAAGGGAGGGGATATCCGGATGCGGTGGGGCCATCTCTAATCTATGAGAGAGTGATTAATCTTTCACATATGATGGTATGGACTTGAAATTCCAGTAATTCCTTATAACAGTCTTAGTCTCCAGTCACTCCTCAAAAAAACATGAAGCTCATTACCTATTTTTTTTTTTTTTTTTGAATTCAGTCAGTTTTTCACTGGATCTGCTGATCAATATAGGAAATTCACGACAGAAATCTTGTGGAAGATCAACTTCACATGGATTAAACATGTGAAGACCAAAACCAAGATAAATATTGGAAGAGGATAATCAAATCGGAAAGAAGCATAACATGTGGTGTTTTAAGAAATCAATCATTATGAATGATTCATCTCCTGAAACTAATCTACAACCAAAAATTAAAAAAGCCTCACCTTTTTTTGGCACCCCTCAAGCCATATGAATTAATTTTCCAAATCATTCTCCCACCTTAAATATATATGATTATGAGTCAAATTTGAAGTAAAGAATTATATATATAACAGGATTATAAATCCAAATTTGATTTGGGACAGTTTTCCATCATTGACTTTTAGGATCAGATTTGTGTTTATTGATTTGAATATCATTCAATACCTATTTGGATTAACAAAGAAATAAGAAAATCAAAATCAAAATCATGGAAGTTTCAAAAGAAAAAAGAGCCAGACTTTTTGAACTAAAGTATTGAATTATCCAATTTGAAAAATAAAACATCAGAGATATGCAATCCTGTTTGGTTCTTGGACTAGTAAAGAAATCAGATATTCTTTGATTAGACTGGTTCCAAATTCCATTCCTTTTTTTCATGCAGATCTTCAACAAAAATTAGTTGTAAATTGAAATTCATTTGAATTCTCAAGATGATGCAAGTGATACCAACCAGCCAAAAGGAATGCAGTAGCATGGTTCACATCTGTCTTTTTACCCAGGTTTCTGATCAGCTGCTTTTCTGGTTTAGTACAATTTTAGTGTAAAAAAAAAAGAAAATCTTGCTCATTGGTTGCTGGTTGATATGATTTCCTTGTAAAATATGGGGATATTACAGGCAAGATTCATGATCATCCTGTTTCAATCTTCTGGTTCAATGCTGATTTGGCCAAATATTCTCATAAATATTACTTCTTGTTTTAGCACCAGCAAGCTGGTGACTGATCAGCAAACTAGCTAAAATGCTAGATGTGAACCGTCCTAGTAGCATGGTTTATATCTCGGCAAGGATAGATTGACAATGATAGATCCAGGCTATAATCTTCTCTCTTGGTTCCTGCTTTAAACCTGGCTGAATTAATTGTAGGATATGGTCTTGGAGTGAGATGACTGATTTAAGAATATTTTCCATCTTCTTCATGGTATTTGCAAGGTGCAAGTGCTCCACTGTTTGAGCTTGAACAACTTGCATGATCTATACTTTTTTTTTCCCCGGTGAGAATTCCAGTAAGTTCATTTGTGGATGACGAACTTGCAGTATACCAAGAAGATGGTTGATGTGAACATACTGACATTGTCAAGATGATCCAAATCAGCTAGTGTTATATCTGACGCCATTCCATGCGCCGTTGGAGCTCCATGATCTGGAAATAATTGAGACATTCCCATTACTGATTGACTCCAGACTGAATCACCACTGGACTAATGGGGATGGATGGGCGGTGGAAGTGAAATATCCGCTTGCACCGATGATCACACAATACAATCTCCATAGTCTGCGGCTTCAGCTTGTGTCAATGGAACAGGATCTTTGTCTAAAGGCAAACCTGGTTTGCAAGAAGTGAGAAATATTGGACATTCAAGCTCAGGAGTCAGTGGGCTCTAATTGGGATGGCTCTGCTATGGAGTACGATCTCCTTGCAAGTGCGGCCGCACAGGTGCAAATTTTACAAAAATACAGATCAATGGATAGTGCCCCCGATTACTATGTAAAAATATACATCATGATGATGATTTTTGGATGCGACAAATTGATGATATGAAAAGATTTGGATTGGTTTTCTCAATAGTTCCAGGCAAGCAGGCTTGCAAATTGCAATAGATATATTGTACATACACAAGCTCACGCGATTTTTATTGATGTGGCCCCGTGATTCTGTAGTCCAAAAAACAGGTTTTATCGATGCCATGTTACAGTCGCTGCATTAAAGCTGTTACAACTCTTGTTTTCAAGCCCCCAAGGATGTGTTCCACGGGGATCTATGTACCTGAAGCAGCAGAAAGGGGAAGCAGCCGCTTAATCCCGCTTGCGGTATCCTCCATTTTATGTGCTGGTGGTCTTGTGGATCGGCAATGGCAAATGAGACCAGTTTCAAGTTATACCTTCAGGAGTCAATATCAGCCTTCAACATGATGGCCGACGTTTTTCCAAACCCAAGCCTACCGCACACATAGCTTAACACTTAACTTAACCCAAGCCCGGGTTTGGTATAGCCAGGCTGGCGCGGCGCGCCCCTAAGCGCGAACTTAACGCAACGGCAAGTCTTGCCTCCTTCAAAGGCGCAGCCACTCCGGAGCGTCCACCGAGAGGCTTAGTTAAGCTTGCCCGAAGCCTCCGTCGGCGAGGAGAACTCCGTTCGTGAGGTGAGCCTCTGTTTAAGCCTCTGTTCGCGAGGTGAGCCGCCGTTCGCGAGGTGAGGTACTGCCCGAGGTCCGACACATCCCCGAAGCCCGATCGAGGGGCTTTGTTTAAACTGGAGCCTATAACAGCCTGTAACCGTCGGCACTGCACCTCGTCGGACCGCACCCGTGGTGTAGGGAAAGTCGTTGTGATGCCGCCCTACGACTTCTCCCAGCCCACAAGGGGCAGCTGATTGCTGACAAGACCGGGGGGGAGTCTCCACCGCAGGTTGATAAGCAGTACATAGCTTACATAAAGAACTACGATACGGAGGACCTTCGTTGCAAGCTCACCCCGAGTTTGATGTCTTTCATGAAATACCCCCTTGCAATGGATACCGAGTCTTTCAGAAAGATTACGTGATTAAAATGAGTGTAGCGCTTATAAAACCTTTGCCTGCCTCTGGAAATATTCATCCATCCTTCATACTTCACTTTTCGACTCCCCTGTACATAAAAAAATTGATTGTTCCTCCAATTTACGGCCATCGGACATTGTCTTTTATTTTCCAAAGCCCAGTTTTTGCGACATTGGGTTTACAACTTGAATACTTTCTTCAACGAATCCGTCACCTTCACGAGCGTACATATCAAAAACACATTGATCATAGACAGTTTTCATACTTATCCTCCCTTTCTTTGACCAAGTCCAAGCTACTCTCGCTTAGCAAGACCGAGGACTGATTGCTATGTCCGAATAGATCGTCCAAAGACAACCTTTCAAATAGTGTAGTATAAACAACACCCATACACAATCTGGTCTCAAGACAATTGTGCCGTCACTGAACATCTCGCACTACACCTAGCTTCTACACACAAACAAACATCACACTTGACACTCATAACGTGTGGCACTTGAATATGAGCAACTGAGCAAATCACCAGCGGTTCAATACAGTGCGGTGGGTTGGAATTGTGACTGTCGCTATCTCAGTTATCATCGGGCCTACTGCCCAAAACCCCGTCGACCTGGTAGCGCGCAATGAAGTTGCAACAACCTCTCCTAAACGTCAGTGGGCAAAGGCTCTTATATTTTTCAAGCAGGTTCTAATGCTAACTCGATGTGAATATGCTATTCTGTAGCCCCAATGGGATGGAACTCGGACTTTGCTCTAGATTGTCATTATGAACTACGAGACGACGACTTTACCTGGCAAGCAAACCAACTGGCCGAACGAGGATTCAATGCGGCTGGATACAAGACCTTTGTATTCGATTGCGGATGGGAAGCTTCGTCCAAGGATGGCACACCTGGCGTAAGTTCATCTGCCCGCATCCAATTTTAGTTGCAGCATCTGGGCATTCTTCAATCGGTAAGATGAACATGTCTATTGAATAATGAAAATAAACAGTACTTGAAGCGCGTTTTTCCAAATGGCCCACAAGAACATGCTAGTTGGTTGAAATGGAAGGGCTTCAATATGGGTTTGGGGACATGGGGAGGGTCAGTTTTTGTTTTCTGTCACAGTTCTACTGGATTCTTGCGTGCATGAAAGAAAGATCAACTTAACAAAGGATTTGATTGAACATGGCTCAAATGAAAAACTTCGCTTGATCTAGAATGAACCTGTGTCCTAGACTTGTCTGGGCCGGAACTATCGGGGACAGACCAAGCGACTTGCCAAAGTACATCAAAACTCTTTCTGACTGGGGTGTGTCCTATCTAATACACAGACCGTAAGCTCTTACGATTACCTTTATCTTCATTAAAATTTCCGAGTTCGTGAGAACAATGCTCATCTAGAGTCATGCTTTAATGATGTAGCTGTGACATGGCAACCCCCGAGATCTTGCAAGATCCGAAGAATGCTAACACATTAGATGTACGTATTTACTTGGAAAGTGTGACAAGAGTTTTAAATTTTACATCTTGTTGATCAGTGGACAAGATGTTATAGGACCGTTATATCAAAATGCAAGAGGCAATACACACTGCCGGTGTCCAGGATAAACTGTTTTACGCGTCAGTTTGATTGATTGGTGGTCATAAATTCTCTAAATCCTGTTGGTTTGATTGAAAAGGATGTGAATCATTAGCACTGGACAATGGGGTGCTTCACCGTTAGCGCAGCAGAAACGAGCCAACAGCTGGAGAATCTCAGATGAATACCATGTGCTCTGGGACACTTTGTAAGCAACAGAATCATGACAACGTTCCGCATCTGTTCCACTCTCTATAGAATCCTCACTTTCATTTTGTTTATTTGTTGTTGAAAACAGCATCAGGAATATGAATGCACTTGTCCCATTTGCACACCAGACACGTCCAGGAGCATACAATGATCTAGGGTTTCTTAGGTTCCATACTAAAGAGGAGGGACATGGACTTACTTTGGACCAGAGGACCACTATTTTTACCTTCTATGCTGCCGCAAAGTGATGATGTTTTTCTTCTTCTTGATTTCATTCAATCAAGATATGAGTTTCATTAATTACCCAAACTGAATCAATCTTTATCATATAACCTCTGAAAACCCGGAAACATGAATCCTCTGAACTGTGCAGATCGCCGCTTATGATTTCTGATTCGCTTGCAAACATCGACCATGAGACTGGGGAGATGCTCAAAAACCAAAGAGTAATCAAAATAAACGTAGGCTCAAAATTTGGGAATATCTTGATGACTGCCGGATGGGTATTAAATCTTGCACAAAATTCAACTACTCTTTTTGATTTAGCAAGATGAATTGGGAAAAAGCATCCTCTTCAGACGCAGATACCCTGATGACATGGACATATGGAGTGGACCTTTGAAGGACGGAAGCACAGTTGCGGGTAAGCATCTATATTTTTTTTCTTTTCCTTGGTACTTACTAAGAAAAATTCTTATACATATTTTCAGTCATCATCAACTGGTCAAATGCACCTGGAAAGAAACACATCAACCTGGATGACATGGGGTTCACATCAGCACGTATTCATGATGTCCGAACCGGGACGGATCTAGGAAACAAAGTGAACTTGTGAGTCTCTGCAGCTCATGAAAAAGGGATGATTGTAAAATTGGTTGAATCAATACTTTATTGTAATAATTAATAAAACTCAATAGAAGTAATAAACTGATGGAAAACAATAAGGTAAGTCAAATATAAACAACTTAGAAAGAATAATAAATAATGAAATACCCATTAAAATAGATCAGAATACCACAAAATCTTAACACAATAACACGATGCTGAATCTTCAACACAAAAGTATTATCACAACGAGATAGTCTGTACGATCATGAAAATAAGAAACAGTCAATAACAATCAACAACATAGGAAGCAGAAAAGATAGAGTAACTACCTGCCCAGAAACTATCTCTAGCTCCTCCTAGATGTGTGAAGCGAGCAATCGATGAAATCGAAGAAAAGATTTGATTGATCAGCGGCGAGAGTTGCTGACCTTGGGAAGTTTTGATGACGATCGATTGATGGATGATGAACAAGCAGATAAGAAGGGGAATGTGAGTGATCGGCGAGTGATTTTGGTTGCTTGTTGAAGATCGAAGATCGGAGATTGAGATGTGGTGTTCGTAAGCGTGGAAAGAATGCGAGGTTGAAGATATGCATAAAGAAACATGCATAGTCGAAATGTGCGAGTTTGGAAAACATAACACTCCTCCTAAACACGCACATTGGTTAAATGTAATTGTTTAAATGCGACAGCTAGCTTGATCTTCCCAAAAGGTTTAGTGAGAATATCCACTATCATATCGACAGTACTAGCTTGCTTGATGTTCAGTACCTTAGCAATCATGAGCTGCCGAATATATTGAAATCGGATTTCGATATGCTTGGTGTTAGGATTAAGTTGAGGTTCTTTGCTGATTATTACTGCACCAGAGTTGTCATTAAAAATCGTAGGTACACCAATGCCAATGTTAAGGGAAGTAATGAGATTCGACATCCACCGAAGTTGCTTCGCACACTTGTTGATAGAGATAAATTCAGCCTCTGTGGTCGATTGTGCTACAACTGATTGCTTCTTTGTAGTCCAAGAGATCGGATTTCCAAAGAAAGTGATTACGTATCCAGACATTGAATTTTTCGTCACCAGAGATGTCCCGTAATCCGCATCAGCCCAGCCTGACAACCCTTCCAATTCATCACCTTTAGTATACAACATTCCGACATCCGCAGAACCTCTAAGATATCGAAGGAGGTGTTTTACCATCGACCAGTGAGCCTGCGTTGGTGCGTTGGTGAACTGCGCAAGAACATTAACCGTGAATGCAATATCTGGCCGAGTGTGTAAAGCCAGATAATTTAACATTCCTATAGCTTTTTGCATGACTTTTGCATCGAAAGGTGGGGATTCGGAAGCAATGATACGATGAAAATTGAGTGGCAAAGGAGCTTTCACAGGATTTGATTCGTTCATACTAAATTCGTCCAGAATTTTTGAAGCAAAATCGGATTGATGAATCAAAAGTGAATGATCTGAGTTCCAAACCAGCGTATAGCCGAGATGTTGTGATGGCCGTTCCTTAATCTTCAAAACATAAGTTTTTTGAAGATTCTTTAAAAACTGAAGGATTGCCGGTCGAGATTTCCCAACAATCAAGCCGTCATCAACATGCATGTGAAGCAAAATTGAATTGTCCCAGTTGTGAAATAGGGCATCGTCCAAAATGGATGCCGTAAATCCAATCGAATTCAGCGTCGATACGAGATGTTCTTTCCACATGCGAGGGGCTTGCTTAGTTCCGTACAAAGATTTCTTCAGTTTCCAAACCCAACCCTTTTTCTTTGGATCCGGATCTTCAAAACCAAGTACTTGCGAAACGTAGATTGATGCATCAATTTTGCCGTAGAGAAAAGCCGTCTCAACATCGAATTGAAAAACATGAAGGTTTTCATTCACTGCGAGAGACAACATCATCTTTAAAGATTCGTTTCGAGCCACAGAAGAGTATGTTTCAAAATAATGAAGCATATGTTCTTGATGATTACCAAAAACAACCCATCGCGCTTTGTGACGAGAAATTTCATTGAATTCGTTGAGTTTTCGAGTCATAAGCCACATACCACCAATGATTTTATCATCAGCAGGAGGGGGAGTCAGAATACCGGTGTTCTTGACTTGAAGAGAATTGAATTCGGCGGACATTGCATCGCACCAATCATCTTCATGTTGTCGGTCATTCATCGCCTCATTGATTGTTACTGATTGATTTAAATTCAACTCCGGAAATTCGTCTTCCAAGACAACGTTCAGATCTGGCAAACCGGGATTCATTCTCCTAGAGCCTTCAATTATATTTGATGGATTGACCTTCGAACTAATATCTTTTGGTGCTTTTTGATTTGCAGAACCCCAAACATAAGTGTAATGTTTGGTAGGAGGCAACGGGCGCGGCGTTGGAATTGACATGTCGATAGCCGGCGAAGGTGGAATGGGAGGCAAAGACGGGGCAGTTCGTGACACAGGGGAAAAGGGTGGTGTAACGAAAGGAGATGGAGAAGGTTCACGATTACTTGATGACCTGTCTTCAGGAACATGAACCGTAACAAATCGTTCCTTGTCTGAAATTTCACCATCAGAGTTCGGCAGAGTTGAGGCCAACTTCATCATTGCATCAGAAGAGTTGTATCAAAAATTTAAAACAGAAGGAGTGTAATCACGGCTAATGACGATTCTTCGGGAAACTGGGTCGAGAAAACGCATCACGTCTGAACAGGGCTCATATCCCAGAAAGAGAAGAGGTTTCGATGGCGGAACAATTTTCAAAATCGGTTTTTGATTGTGAACAAAAACCTTCATACCGAAAGGTATCAATGTTTGGACATGTCGAACCTGCTCAAGTTTAGCATCAGAGTTGACAAGCATTGATATCGGAGACTTCCAGTTAATTGAAATGGACGGAAGCATGTTGATGAGTGTTGAGGCAAATTTTGCCGCTTCGTCCCAGTAATTAAGAGGAACTGAGCACTGAGCTAGCATGCAGCGAATTTTCATCAACAGAGTACGATTGAATTGTTCAGCTAGACCATTTGTTTGAGGAGAATTAGCTGGGCCTTGTTCCAATACAATTCCACGTTCAGAAAGAAAATTTTTAAAAATAATCGATCCGAACTCACCACCACGATTGGTATGCAAAACTGCAGGAACCCTATCCACCTGATTTTTGATTTCATTGATGTACGACATAATTCGAGATTCCGAATGTGATTTCTTTTGCAGTAAATAAATACGATTGAATCTAGAGAAATCGTCGATTAAAACCAGAATGTACTTGAAACTACCGCGAGAAACCGGTGTAATTTGAAGAAGATCCATATGAATCATCTTGAATGGAGAAGATGCTGACGGAAGGGGATTCGAATGAGCAGATCGATTCAATTTGGCCATTCGACAAACTTCGCAGTTGGATGAGGAACCGGATTTTGAGTTATTCGAAATCTTCATCAATTCAAAGAATTTCTTGAGATAAACATCAGATGGATGGCCAAGAATTATGTGCCAGTCCTTCAATGGTTGTTTTTCCGCAACAGAGAATAGCGTGTTGATGTCGAAATAATTTGAGCTTGATGAAACAAATAAATCACCCAAACGAGGAAACTTCTCGACAATTGTAGATCCCATACACACAGTGACCAATTTGTTCTTATGAAAGATTCAAAAACCGTGATCTTCTAATTGCGATAATGAAATTAAGTTGCATTTACCCGCTGGAGCTAGATAAACTGGAAAAATTTTGTATTTTTTTCCAAATTTCATTGATCCGATGTGAGTGATATCGATCGAACCAGAGTATGTACGCATCTTCTTGTCGATCGGTTTCAAATCGGATAACAAACGAGAATCAAAAACAGTTGATTTCGAAGCACCCGTATCAAGAATGAGACGCAAATCGGTTGAATTTTCTGAATTGATATGAAAGTTATTATCTTCATCGACAAAGAATGCATAGGGATCTGCTTGAGGAGATTCATCAATGTTTTCAGATTCATCGATTGTTTCAGCGTGTTCTTCCTCGCTAGTTGAATCTTCGTTAATAGCATTCAAATCTTGATTTTGTAAGGCTTTCAAGGCTTGAATTTGATCAGCGATCAACTTTTTAACACCGTCGTTCATTTTTTGAGAGGATTGAGAAGACGATGATGACTGAGACGATGAAGGTCGATTCTTTGTAGGAGCAACATTCCGAAACTTCTGAGCTTTGAATTTATCCTTGTTGGGTCGAACAAAGTTTTTTGCAGTTGTTACGGCGTTTATTGAACCAGAAACCTTCTCGGAACGACTATCTTCTATGTTCATACGAGCGGCTAGTTTTTCAAAAGTAAAGGGAATAATGTCGTATAAATTTTGAATTAAAGAAGCGAGTGAATCGTCGTGTTGGAAACTTTTAAGGAAAAATATTCCAGCCATTTGAGTATCGACGTGCATAGTTGTGTTTGTACAGACAAAAGATGACTTTACTAAATTATAAAGGTTTTGAAATTTTGAGACATGAGCTCCGATTGATGATCCAGGAGTATAGTCGCAACAAACTAGAGAGTAGAGTTTGTCACCGAGCTTGATCAAAGATGTTTCGCCACATGTTTCCGCAAGTTCTTTCATAGCGGCACTGAAAGTATCGGCAGCAGCTGCAACGGGTTTAAGATCCGCAGAAACGCATTGACGAAGTAGAGTGAAGGCAAGAGCTGATTTCTTCCTGAAGACTTTCTCATTCTTGTGAGTTTCACACCACACAGGATCGAAAATTTCTTCATGACCACGTCCAGTCAGAAGATCGACGAAAAACTTCTTCCATTCGGTCCAATTATCACGATTGAGTTTGAGTAACTGGAGTTTTTCTTGTCGTTCATCTTCACTTGAAGAATCGTTCATCTTTTCCAGAGTATTTGGCATCTCGTTCGCTTGATCTAAAAATCAGTTTATTCTTACTTTGAGTTTTATTATTATCAAGTATTGACTCTTGCTACCATGTAAAATTGGTTGAATCAATACTTTATTGTAATAATTAATAAAACTCAATAGAAGTAATAAACTGATGGAAAACAATAAGGTAAGTCAAATATAAACAACTTAGAAAGAATAATAAATAATGAAATACCTATTAAAATAGATCAGAATACCACAAAATCTTAACACAATAACACGATGCTGAATCTTCAACACAAAAGTATTATCACAACGAGATAGTCTGTACGATCATGAAAATAAGAAACAGTCAATAACAATCAACAACATAGGAAGCAGAAAAGATAGAGTAACTACCTGCCCAGAAACTATCTCTAGCTCCTCCTAGATGTGTGAAGCGAGCGATCGATGAAATCGAAGAAAAGATTTGATTGATCAGCGGCGAGAGTTGTTGACCTCGGGAAGTTTTGATGACGATCGATTGATGGATGATGAACAAGCAGATAAGAAGGGGAATGTGAGTGATTGGCGAGTGATTTTGGTTGCTTGTTGAAGATCGAAGATCGGAGATTGAGATGTGGTGTGCGTAAGCGTGGAAAGAATGCGAGGTTGAAGATATGCATAAAGAAACATGCATAGTCGAAATGTGCGAGTTTGGAAAACATAACAATGATTTTGTTGAAAGACTAGCTGAATATTGAAGTGTTTATGGACAGCTTTGAGCAAGAGATTGCGGGGCATGGGAGTCTAATTGTGCAGCTGACAGAGACCAAGGAGGCGCCCAAAAGGGATTTCCAACGGATCCCAGCAGCCCAAGCAGAACTGATTTCCCCAGCCCATTTCAGACAAGTGGGAGAGCTCAAAGTAGCAACGTCTATCAAGGCTGAAGGCCAAGGTGCAGTGGTATGGCATGATGTCCCCGGGAGCCAGGACGGCCACGTCTTGCTCAGCTTTGATTATATCAATGCCGAACTCCCATCAGACGACGAAGACCATGCAAAACTGAACTTCAAACGGGCCGCCATCACTATCAATGACGACCCTCACCGCAAATTCCAGGTGCATTTTCCTATAACTGGAATGGTCAGTAGAGATACCTTTTATAAGCTCCTGATCCTCCTCCTCATCATCATTTCAGAAAAAAAAAAGAGAAAGATTGTTTTTGATCTCTTCTTGGACTGACATGTTTTCTTGAATCTTAACGCTTCTGGAAAACTCATGCCCAGACATGGTCTGATGTTTATCCAGGCTATCTAGTTTCACTTCCCCTGGTAAGCCATATCATGATACCATACCATGAGTCAATCTGTTGACTGTGCCTGCCACTGCCACTTCTAACATGACCATGTTTTCGCCAGCCAAATCCGAAAAACAAGGTCCGGATCGAAGGTTTAGATGGTGCGGCGCCAGACTTTGTGGCATTATCAGTCGCCATACAACCCGCTCCAACTACCACCAAAACCAATTAGTCTTTCTTCTTGGTTCCATGTAGTCCATTGTGTCTCTCATTTTTCTTCCATGTACAGTACTTTTATTACGTGTGTCTTTAGGATCTGCAAAAAAAAAAAAGATCAGCTTTCAACGAATCAAGCTGTACATTGTACATACAACGTAGAAATACCCACACCCAATATATGATGTGCTCAACTAAGGAAATGATCTATCCAAGAAATCCATCCATCCATCCCTCAACCTGGGAAAGGACCCCCACAAGTCCCCCAATAGGGGGGGGGGGGGGGGGTAGGGGTGCTAAAAAACTCTGGGATTGATTTTGGCAGAATTCACACCAGTTTTCCAGGACATTCATCCCACTTTAACAAGAGTATGCAACCCCAGAAGAGGGGTAGTTAATTCTGATTTTGCATGAGGTCAAATTCTAGATTTTGCTGGTGTTGACCAATGTGCAAATTCCAGAGCACCTTGATGGCCCAAAACGATACACAATTCATCCCTTTTTTTCAAGCTTCTTCAAGATCTAAATATGTATGTGGTACGTTTTTTCAGATTTCACCAATTTTTAGCTTACCTTTTTTTTTAAACCCCCCCCCCCCCCCCCCCCAGCTATTGGCCATGGGCCTGCCAGGGACCTCCAATGAATTGAACAACAATTCTCACTTTGTTTCCAAAAAAAAAACGTGAACCTTGTACAACTTCCACTGGTGACTGAAATGCCAAAACCCCTGCCAATCAAGTACATACATAGTTCCAAGAAAGAGACCACCCCATACACAAAGAGACAAACACTCCAGAAAAAAAAAAAAGATCACTTTGAGAACATGAGCTTATATATGCTTGCAACTCAGTCAATTCCTGGTGGTAGTCATACAGCAATCATGTCAACTGGTCAACAATGACATATCACCAAGCTTACTTCTCCACTCATACAAATCAATGCCAACCTTGGTTTTACTCCAGACCCTCAAGACCCATTTCCATCACAATCTTAATCCTCACCAACCTGCAACACCCTTACATCATTCAACAAGTGTAACATTTCATGTGTTTGTTTGTTTTATTTATTTCTTAATTCATTCATATAAGATTCATTTTTTTTTCTCGATAGATAGATATATGTATATATATGTATAAGTTGACAACCAAAAAAGAAAAAAAAGGAGAAATACCAAGATCAGAAGGAAAAAAAAGAAGAAACCAAAAAAGACACTAAAAAGACCAAAAAAAAGAGAGTAAGTTGAAAAAAGGAAAGAAAGAAAATCACAGAATATGAGAAAAAAAGAGAGGGAAACCAACAAAAACAAACAAAGCAAAGAAAAAAAGAAAAAAAAATCTAAGAAGAGACATCCATCTGATCGCCAATTCCAGCCACGACTTCTTTCCCAGCGACAGCACCAGCAGTAGTAGCGATAGGATTAGTGGTGGTAGTGATGCCCGAATCGGTATCACGAGTTTTGAGATGATCGAGATGCTCCAAACCAGAGGCTCTTTCATCATCCAAATGATCATTATCATCCTCATCCTCATCGCGAACTTCGCCGTCTTCATTCTCATCATCCTCCGACCCACCACCACCCCCATTCTCTTCTCCCTTCTCTTCTCCTACATTCTCATCCTCTTGTTGTTGGTGATGTTGATGTTCTTCTTCAGTTTTCTTGGTTCGTTGGACTGATAGAGGCAGATCATCATCGGCTAACGAGGAAGAAGGCCGATTCTCCTTCTCCTTGGATTGATTTTCAGTTGGAGTAGATGAATTTGGAAGAGGAGGTTTGACGGTAGAAGAAGGGTCTTCTTCATCTTGGCGTTGATCTTCAAGTTCATCGAGAGAACCACGTCGTCGTGGTCGTTGTCCATCAGCACTCCCCTCGTGATTATGTGAGAGTTGAGTTTTATGATGAAGATCATCTGCAGGAAAGACAGACAAAGGAGGAGGAATGGGGGCTGATTTCTTAGTCCTTCTAGCAGATGAAGAATTATGCGGGCCTAAAAGGGAAGGATCGGCCGGATTATCATCATTCATGATTCCCTTTTTTCCTCCTGTGAGAGACATGATACTAGTCTTTCCCCCACCCCCACCGACTCCGCTGAGTGGCGATCGACCGTCACTGTTGGTTTGTGAACGAGGGGATGGCTGGCCGCTACCGCCGTGTCCAGCAACAGAAGAGCGTGATCGTTTGGGATCAGGGGCGCTAGTGTCACCGGCCGAAGGACTAGATTCAGCGCGAGAGCGTTTAGTGAAAGCGCTCGGATAGGCGGAGAGCGAGTTAGGATGCTGGCTGACTCCTGATCCAGCTTGACTATCGCTGAGGATCCCGGATTGGAGGATCCGTGGCCCAGCGGGGTAGTGACTGGATTGAGCAAGAGAAGATTCGGGCGACGAGTCAGCTCGGATGGGCGATTCAATCGTCGAGCGTTGGGCGACACTGTGGGGAGAATTCGACGGAGACCCGGCTTCACCAGAGCCTCCAAGAGCTGCTGCGCCTGCCCCTCCACCACCAGAGCTCTTATCCGAGGCCGGGGAAACACCATTACTAGCCCGAACACGGGCATTGTTATTCGTCTTGGCTGCTTGACCAGTTCGACTGCCAGCTGAAACGGGTGCAGAATGGGGCGATTGGACCGTCGGCGAAGGCTGAGACGCAAGCACTCTGCGTGGTGGTTGGCCGGCAAAGCTAAGTAGAGCATCTGCCACTTCATCGTACTCTTCAAACTCTTCGTCCACCTTTCGATCCGGTAGGGAAGGATTGTTGGCGGGTTGGGGCGAACCGGGTTGGCCGGTCCGACTGAGAGGAAGATCGGAAGGATTTATAGGAGGAGGGACGGGCGATGGGGAAGGTCTCTTGGAATTCTCATTGACTTTGGTCTTCATCGTCGAGCGGAATTTGGTATTAGCGACCTTCTTCTTCTCTTTCTTCTGAGTAGGAAGCTGAGAAGAATTTCCTTCACGAGCCCCAGTCGCTGGAGTCTGAACTGCAGGCGCGAGGGGCATCACTGGTTGAGGGGCCGGGACAGCAGGGTTGGGAGGTGTTAGTACGGCAGAGCTCGAGGTGTTAGCACTGGTACTAGATCGAGAGATGGGAAGTTTCCGCCTACGAGCATGATTGGCTGGAGGGAAGTCGTCTTCTTTGTTGTTGAGCTGTTTGGTACGAGCAGTCCGACGAGGTGCATTGGATCCACCAGCACCGGGGGGGCCGGAAAACTCAGACGCTGTGAACGAGGGAGTTGGAGAGGGTTGACCCTGTCGGGCAGCCGCCAAGGCTTTCTGTCTTTCAACATCGTCATTGTAGGGACGTTGAATCGCCGATCTGGGTCGTGGTGATGTGGCTTGCTGTTCATGTGAACCACTCTGCCTGTGCGGGGGGATTGTTGTTTCATCGTAACGAGGATCATAACGACGACTGGAGGGAGCATGCTGAGTGGATCCCATTTGATTTGGGGGCATGTTAGGAGGCGGATAATGCGGTGGATAACCAGCCTGAGATCCAGGTCTCCGATCTTCGGGAGATAGCGGAGCAGGGCCAGGAGGATGAGGAGGAGGAACACCTGCTGCCCGGGGATCGGCTCCAGGCCAAGAAGGCGAATGGACGGCGGACTGATCGGGGGAGAATCGATGACCACCTGGACCGGCGCGGATACCAGGGGAAGAATGGCGAGGATCATATGGCGATTGGTGGTGTGTCTGTGGTGGAGGAGGGTAGCCTGCTCCAGCAAAGTCACTCCCACGATGGACATACATGGTAGACGAAGCTGATCCTGGAGGTGCTCGATTCTCGCGATCAGCAGTACTGGTTCGGTACTCGGGAGAATGTGGTCTCAAGCGCATCGAGTCACGCATCGGCCTTTCTCGCTCACGATCTCGACCCATCGGCCCTCCTCCGGCAGCAGGGTGAAGGTTCTGAGGGGGGAGTGTTTCATCTGCTGGCATGGCCGTTGTGGGGTAACGCGAATAAACTGGTGGGGGGACATGATGGGATGGAGGTCTACCATTGGGGGCGGATGAATACTGAGCGCGATCGCCTGGTGGAATATTGGAGCGGATAGAGGGTGAAGTCCGAGGAGAGAGAATTTCACGAGGAGCCGAGCCCGTGGCGGAAATGGACATGGGTCGACGCAAGGGCTCAGGAGCAGGTGGCGCAGGGGATGGACCACGTGAGTGAGAATCAACGACAGAGCGAATGTGTGGCAGATTGTGTTGCGCTGAAGGGGGTCCTCGGGTGCCCAGTCGAGGAGACGACTCAAATTCCATGGGTGCCAATGGACCATGACCGCCAGATTGACGCCGGTTCAGAGAAGCGGGCGGGGCTGCATGTTGCTGAGCTGATGGATGGACATGACCAGGGTGGGCTGGATGATGTGAGGGTGGTAGGTTGGCCGAGGAGAGCGGTGGTCCATGGGCGAATGGTCCGGCGGATTGAGGTCGTAGACCTGATGCACTACTTGAAGTGCCTGGTCGAGGGATGCTGACACGACCTGGAGGAGCTGCGGGGGAGATCGGTCTTGTTGTGACAGGGGAGTGGGATGGGGGTAACACAGGGACGGGCTTGGTTGGTTCTTCATGAGTCAATGCCGAGTGACCAAAGCCTGCCTCAGCCGAGGCATTCAACGTATTGGGGAACGGCCAATTCGGCGAGGAGTGATTCATGTCCCGAGGCGGTGGTGGTGGGCCTAGTGGGGCACCGGTCTCCTGATGTAATTTGATTTCGTCGAGCCGACGTTGGATGTGAGCGTTATTGCTATCAAGTTGGATCGCACGTTGATAGGCATCAACCGCGTCGGGCATTTGGTCGTTACATGATTCGTACAAGGCACCAAGGTTGAACCAAACTTCTGACAGATAAGGATTGATGCGGATTGCGCGAGAGTATGCGTCAAGAGAATCATGATATTGGCAAATCGCATAGTAGAGCACGCCGATCGAACACCAAAACGCCGGGTTCTTCCCATCACGGTAAACAGCTTGCTGATAAGATTCATAGGCCCTAGTATAATCTTGCATAGTCATGTAGACTCGAGCTAGAAGGTACCAACTGAAAGGATCGCCGGGATCTGTTCGGAGAAGACGTGAATTTATGAGCATGTGATTTTGGAGATCCAAGAGACGCAATTTTCTTCAACTCACCAACACTCAAGCTACGAGTTAGAATGTGAGCAGCTTCTTGTGGATTATAAAAGCTGCTGCCTTCACGACAATACAATCCACCCAACTGCTGGAGTACTTTGGCATGAGTTTGGTTTTCGCTTAGAACGCGTTCATAAGCTTCCTTGGCTTGATCGAACTACAGAACCAAATGAAAATATGAGCTCAAGCCAAAAAAAAAAAAAACTAGTGATGCAAAGAAAAAAAAACGCGATTCACATTGCCTTGCTGTTCATGGACGTGTCCAATTTGAAACCAGATGTCGATCTCCGTCAGTGGAGATGGAGGCTTGTCTAGGATCCATTGGAAACACTAAGGTGGAATTGTTTTTGAACAAGCAATAAAATCCAATCAATTGGCAAGACCAACAACAATGTACTTGTTTTTGAAAAAAAAAAATCTCAGGACATACTTCCAAACTCAATTCAGCCTTGCGCTGTTGCTTGTAAATGATTCCTAGCCTGAAATAGATCTCATTAGCTTTCTCAAAATCTACGGAGCAAAAATCAAACATCCCACCCAGAGGTTAGTATTTATCATCACCTCTCAAGCCAACAGTTTTTCTGTCTCTGACTCACGGGGATCCATCATGATCACGCTACTGAAAGCTTCCTCCGCGTGTTCCAGACTACCATAACGATCGTAAAGGATCCCGATTCCATACCACAGCTTGGGTTCGGATTTTGGTGTTGGGAAATGATGTAAGGCTTGTTGATATGACGTATACGCTCTGGGCAGTTCATCAAGCATCAAGTAACAATGACCTGAGAGGTGATCGCCCACCCCGAAAAAGATACATTAATATCTGGACGATCGAGAAAGGATTTTTTTAGGTGAATCCAAATAAACTCACCTAGCGCGCCCCAGATCTCTCCGCTACCCTCATGAATTTTTAATAACCTACTGAAATAGCTGGCGGCAGCTTTGAAATTCTCTTTATGTCGGTGTATACCGGCAGCTTTGGTGAGGGCGGGTACGGAGAGAGGATTATGTTTTAAAGCCCTCTCAAAGCATTCGAGGGCCCGACCGTAATCACCAAGAGATTCGGACGCTGAACCTGCACAGAGGAAATGGCCGGAGTGATTGATATTAGCGCAGTAAACTTGAGTGGAGAGATAAAATAAGACTGACCGGCAGCGATCCAAGTCAATTCAGTTCCTTTGATCAAGTTTTCGATCAAAGGGTTAGTGGGCGGACGCCAATCACCGGCCTGACTCTGAAGGTTTAAGTCTCCGTCTCTCAAGATCGCGGCCACGGTCGCATCCTGAGTTTCGGGGGGACCACCATTGACACCGACCGGTTGAGGTGGTGGTTGGGCAAGCTGTCGACTGGTGGCACCTCCCCCGGGATGGTTGCTGGGCAATGCGGGTGGCAGAGCTGGTTGTTGTGTGGATGAGCCAGGCAGGAGATGCTGCCCGGCTCCTGTTGCGTTATTTGGACCAGTCGGGCCTGCGTGATGATGATGCAAAGCCGGAGGGGGTTGCGCGCCAGGAATCACATGGGCCGAGGATGAAGACTGATTGGGCTGCTGGGAGAGCATGGTGATTGAATGGGGTGAATGATGACCCGAGATTGGTGCGGGTGAAGGATGTTGCTGTTGGTGGTGATGGTGCTGATGATGATTAGCAGAGCTATTGTTCGGGTGGATGTTTGGTGGGGGATGGTGTGGGAGAGTTGGATGAGCAGATTGTGCGGACTGAGGGTGCTGCTGAGGGTCTCGCGAAAGTTGTTGTTGTTGTTGTTGCTGATGTTGCTGCTGCTGATCGCGGGTGAGAGAGGGGGAGGAGTCAGAGGGAGATGGATGGATGTGAGAATGGGAGCGCGTTGGCTGGTGATCGCGCTCCCTGTGGATGATTGAATCGGAGCGCTGGTCTCTCTGAGAGGATGAGAGTGAGTGGGGGTGAGGGTGATGATATTCTTTGAGGTGTTGCTGTTGTTGATGATGTTGGTGATGCTCCCTTGGGTGATTGAGATGGTGGGGGTGAGCGGATTGGGAGTGGGGTTGGTGGTAGGAGCCGGGTGGACCGGCAGAGGATGGGTGATGAGGATGTGAGTTGGCTTGAAGGTTGTTATTGTTGTTGTTGTTGTTGTTATTATTATTATTATTACTGGATTGATGATGGATCGATGATGGATGGCCTTGGGAGGCGGAGTGATGATGTTGGGCGACGGAGGCGGATTGAGGGGGGAGTTGAGCGGAACCGTGACGGGGAACGGATGAGTTTGGCGGTGGAGGCCCGGAGAGATGAGGAGAGCCGGAATGGCCGTTGGTATGAGGGGGCGGGGGTAGGGACGCCGAGATGGAGGAGCGATGATACTGCAAGTGGGCTGGGGGATGGGCAGGGGTGGAAGCCGAGGGCGGCGAGTAGGGATAGCCTTGCCCCGAAGGAGGATGGTGGTGATGGAGTGGATGGCCTGACATGGCGTGTGCTCGGTGATGATACTGGAGAAGAGCAGAGACAGCGACAGAGCCCGGAGTTGTGAGGGGGGAGGGGAGGGAAACTTGGAAGCGATGGGTTGGTAACAACGATGAAGCAGTTATGTATTTAAGTGTTTAGGATTGTGATATTTCTTATTTATTTATCGTTTCTGTGTGTTTTGTTTTTTTCGGACTTGACGCAGAATCGCAAGAAGAAGGGTCTCTGATCTTTTTGTTGTTGTTGTTTATTTGAGAATAGTGATCGAAGAGGGAAAAAAAAAACAGAGGAGCGGTAAAAAAAAGGTAGTCAGACTCAGAGGATTGTAACAAAGGATGATCGAGAGATGATGAACGGGGGTTGTAGTTGTGAGTGGGTTGGGAAGTTCTGGAGGAAAGAAGAAGCAGAAGAAAGAGCAGGGGGTTTTTACGGAACGAAGAAGAGGAGGGGCGAGGAGAGAGAGAGAGAGAGAGGGACGGGATATTCAGGTGTGTGGAGTAAGCGATGGAGTCGAAGTGGATTTGGGCTTTTTTTTTTGGGTTGTCATACAACAAGACTGATAAATATTCTTCTTGTTCTTGCTTAGCTCGCTGGCCAGCAGAGTTCAGTCAGAGTGCGGTGGGCTCATGAGCTTGTAAAAACCACCAACGAACGGCTTGTTGGGTGGAGAGTTGTTGTTGTGGTTGAGTGAGTTGGGGATGGAATCTGGATGAATGAAGGGAAAGCTGAAGATGAGAGAAGATGCAGATGAAGAAGAAAAGATAGTGATCAAGTGAAGGAAGGGTTATGTACATACAAATCTATGCATTTACCAGCACCAATCAACGATCTGGGTATCCATCCTATGGACTATGGAAGGACAAGCTTATTCTGTACAAGACTCCAAGCTTGAAAGTTTAAAACAACAACGACGCTGTCATGCTGCAGAGAGAGAGAGAGAGAGAGAGAGATTAAGTGTGTGTGTGTAAAAAAAAGTGTAAAAAGGAAGGAAGGTCAAGGAAGGATGCCGATGGATGGATGCACTCTGTATTACGTAAGATCTAGTGTATAATCAAGCACCAGGAAAGAGATGCTGGTGTTACGTATAGCGTCATATAATATAACAAATAAATACAAAATACACTCAACTCAACTCACCTCAAGGCTCAATCAGCTTCGTCTTCCTGGATGATGCTCCACATGAGATTCTCCCCTCTGTCTTCAATCGGCTCCTCTTCACCCATTCACATATCTGGCTTGGCCAGCTTGGCCTCGATCTGGATTCTGGTCGCTGATCGCTGAGTTTGTTGTACGATTCTCGATGGCACTTGCGTTGGAGGGGAGGTGGTGATAAGCAGTGAATCGTATGCATGTATTTTTTTATTGCCGTAGGGGGGGGGCGGCAGGCGGTGTATAGCTTCAACGTGGGTGCTCAATACAAGAAATCTAAACGAGGGCGTTCCAGGGAGTAAGCGTAGAAGATGAAGATCAGATCCTGCAGTCTGGAGTAAGTGTATCTTGGGCGCAGTGGGCGGAGCTGGGCTCTTCCGAGAGAGGAAAGCGTGTGGGACACTTCAACACTTGCTTGGTCCGAGGGGAACAGCCATGGAGGTTGTGCGCATTACTATGTAGACGGCTCTTCCTTTGTGTAGGGGATCCCTTCCTTCCCAAAACAAATATCAATCAACAAACACAGAGAAATGGATCCTGTTTTTTTTTTTCGTTGAGAACGATCGGAGAAGAAAGGCGAGGATGAAGTTGTTGTGTTGATACCGTTGGAGTCAAATGTCTCCTTCGAGTGGATCCGCAGATATGTACATAATATATGTCATCCTAAACACATAAAAAATACCTTGATCGAGCCGGTCGATTGACTTATGTGCATACATTACACATACATAACATAACAGTCGTATCTCTCATACATCACAGAGAGAAACTCATATAGAGAGAGAGAGAGAAACAGACAGAGAGAGAAAAAACAGGCGATTTTTCAACATGTGATTTTTTTTTTTCCAACATATGCATTTACGTAAAACAGTTCAAAAACACCCGAAGAGGTAACAGATTGCGACAGATTGTGAATCAAGATTCAAGAGTCTTCTTCAAAGTTCAGATTTCGATTTAAATTAAATTACAAAATGAAAAAAAGAGAACGCTTTTCTGTCGACTTTGTTTTTTTTTGGAATGACACATATTCATGAAAGGGGGGGGGGGGTCTACACTGGATGCTTAAAGAAAAGAGAGAGATGCGATGGGCAACACGGAGCGACCGAGGCCGAATGCTTCATGACACTTATATAGATATGTAGAGGAGAGCCGACTAGGGAGGTTGTTTGTACCAGGATGATTGAGATCGCAGCACTAATGTACATAGAGATCCTTCTTCAAAGTACAAGCAGATATGCACATGCAGACTCTGTCGGTCTGTTAAGGGGGGCACGATGTCGATCGTCCATCTCTCTCCACCAACGAGTCTTTGCTCATCCTGGTGAAGTCGAAGCTCGTCCAATTTGTGGACTCATCAGTCTTTTTCATTCGGTTGTAAACAAGATTTTAAGCGAGATGTTTTACAAAACATGTTTGTTGGAATGCATACAATCTGGGTTCTCGTATTACATACATACAAGGAAGTATTATGAATGGATGGATATCAATCTTATTCTTATTCGCTGTTGGATCTATTTACTTTATCCAAGATAAAAAAAAACCCATCCATCATCATCAGCGGTTGTTGTTGCGGCGTTAGCAGCTGGAACTGAAAGACGGGAATTGTAGAGAAGACCAAAGGGCGAAAAACTAAGAGTTATCGGCGGAATTAAGAGGCAAAGGCCAGAGCGTCTCCCACGAAACCAGAGTGTATAAAGTAGCTGTGCAAGACCATTAAAAAAATATACATAAGCTCCCAAGCGATGCGATCAAGCTCTAAATAAAGTATCTTTTCAAGGCCAAGAAGACACAGGCAGAAAACGGTGAAGTGATAGAGAATACAGGGACGCGGTTGAATAGCGGGATGTACACAAGGCCAACAAAGTCAATCATAAACGCCGGCCCGGTGCGGTGGTGGGTCTAGATCTGTATATGGGATGGGATGGGATGTCATGTGTACGATTGTATCGGTGTATGTATGGGTACATTGTTATACAGCCAAGAGAAGCGAGAACACCCATTCATCGAATTTTCAGTCTCTTCGTCGGCCACAAAATCCCCCTGACCATCCTGCCATGTTAATCAAATCTCAAAACTCTCTACATAAATATCCACTACATCTCGGATCGTCACACCGACAGCTGTTGACCATACAAGAGTCTAAACGGATTTTGATTCGAGAAAGGGGGTTGCTTGCACTGTGTATTATAATGGACATTAAAGAGGCCTGGATCAGCAAAGAGCTAAGAAAGGAGCCGATTTCTGGGTTACAACTTACATACAAGCTGTACGACACAATCCTTGAGAATGGAATGATGGCTATGGGGGTCCATGGGGTCGACTCCGAGCTCCGGGCATGGCAGCCAGTACATAGCCCATGTAATTCACTCGAGCTGCCGGCAGCTGCAGACTCCCCATGGGGATATCCATCAAGTCCAAGTCCAACTCCTGCCTTGTTTCGTGGGCGGCAACTCCTCAGCCAAGCTATCCACAAGCTGCTTCATCTCGTTCTGGTGATAGGCCTCTGAAATTCTCAAACTTCCTGGATGTGATTATAAATATGTAGAGGCGATCTTTCAAGTCTTTCATAATTTTTAGCCAAAGCTCTATGATTTGCTGATGATCAGTGGATATGTTTCTGCCATCCCAAACCAAACCAAACCAAAAAAAAAAAAACAGTCGACTTCTTCCGATCTGAGAAAGGTATGTATGACAGCCCATCAATCTGCACTCAAAAACGATCAGCACCCACAATGAAAGATTTTCAAGACCAGCATTCAAATCAATCACACTTGCATGACATTTTGTGCTCTGTTGTTCCCATTTTGTTTCTCCCAATTTCTCAGTGATCATTCATGGAGCTTCCAGATACATAAATATTGGCTTTGTTTGCAAATCCATCGAGCCATCAATATTTCATGAGAGACATGAAGAGTAATCATTCAGTGAGAAGCTGTCGAAAGTTGCTACAGAGAATTGGATAAAACAGTGCTACTAGAAGATATATAATCAAAGTGGACATTATTGAAAACAGTAGAGTGTTACTGAGACTCCTTGCTTGCATCCCATCTCTTTCATCCTCACTTTGGTCGATTCCTTTGTCAACACAAATATTTACCCGGACTGTATCCAAAAGATCCTTCCAAAAAGATTTTTAGGATTAAAAGCTTGTGATTGTAATATATGTAGTCTCCAATCTTGTTTGCAGTGAACTCTGCTTTGGTATGATAAAACCTTAGATGATTAAGATCTTTTACGCTTGATTTGTAATCAAGGCTCTCTCCTCACTTAAATTTATGCCGATCGCCTTCCACAACAAGGGCAGTTACGAACCTCATGATCATCAGAAAGAGAACCTGGTGTAAAGTCATATTTGATCGAACTAAGCCTACAGCATTTGGTTTTCATTTTGCTCCTCATCTGTCCAACAGACCACAGTCCTCCGCTTGAACTCCTACTTATCGTCTTGTTAGAGGATGAGCAGCTTTTCGAAGATGACCACCCAAAGCTTGATCCCACCCACCTCGAGGGAAGGCTTCCAAAGACTGTTGAGCCGACCGAGTGATGCTCTGATCCCGTTCCTGAACAGCATCTTGGCCGGCAGGCTTACAGCGACGATCACCTCGATCGCGGACACTGTCCAAGTCATCCGTTCGGCCCCAGTCATGAGCACTACTGCCACCAATCAGCCAGAGCGCATCTCTCAATCCCTCGAACAAGAATTGAGGATCTCTGAGCTGCAGTCGTCTCATCATCACCAACAATCATCCTCACAACCATCCAATCCAACAGAGGATCCCGATCGTGAGGACAAGGCCGAGGACTCGGGTACGATCTGTTATGCGCTGGTGGCCAGGACCGATAAATCTGAACAGATCGATGTGGAGATCCAAGTGGCTTCACGAACCTTGCACCAGAACGAACCCGAGATCTCAGGTGCTCGAATGGTTTCTAGGCATGATTCCTATATGAAAATGAATCGAGGTCAGTCTCTCCAGATTCCGCTCAACCATACACAGCTCGTCCTTCGGAGTCTTAAAATATAATACATAGCTGACGATTGACGAGCACTCTCGGTTGCGAATCGGGATGTGCGCTCAAGTATACACGATCACGATCTGCGATGTGCCGTGGCCGGAGATGCGCTTCCCGATCCCCTCCTCGCTCGACAACCGATGGCTCTTCTGGCTCAGTCCACAGTGGCGCGGCTTGGGAGGGACAAGCGGGAGCGCGGGTAGAAGCTTCCCAGTAGTCGACCCGGCCATCCAACACTGCTTCGTCTCCCTCGCCATCTTCAGAACCGTCTCCGCCGACAACGTCCTCGATCAGCTGGAAAAAATCCTCTGGGTTTTCGCGAATGGCGGGCCCAAAAGAGTCCCACGCGCCTTGCCTGATTGGGTCCAAGCCGACCCGACCGCGACGCTCTTCGTCAATCTGCTTCTCCATAATAACGACCATCAGCTTGGCGGTGGGCTAGAGAAAGGTGCCTCGGATGTTCCCGAAATCAAGCACTCTTCTCCAGTTTCTTAATTAAGATGATCGAGGTCCAGCAAACAATCAATACAATTACCATGTAAGTAAATCTGATTACAACCTATAAAAACACACCAAGTGACTATTACATAAAGAAGAGTCACTTGACCAGACTCAGACTCATCTTCATCTTATTAGATGTTGACTCTTTTGTTTCTGTATTATAGGAACCCTCGCTCACTCGATTCCCCCTTCCACAATACCGAAAAAAAAAAATACTCACTCCCCCAGTATATACACAGACTTCCAAAAGACTTGACACTTGTCCTCCCCCATCTGCCTTTCTTTTCCTTCCTTGTCATTCAAAAAAAAAAAAGCAGGTTGATCTTGAGCTGATCAGAACTTTGGGGTTTTAGTCTCTTCTACTAAAGCCTCTGTTCTCTCTCTCTCTCTTCCTACATTACATTTCTTATCTCAAGTTACCACATTTTGATATCTCGTTGTTTGAGTTTTACTCCCCGAAATCGTGGGGTTGTTATATGTACTGATAGAAGACCTTAATGTACCCCCCCCCCCAATAAAAATCAAGACGATGGGATTGTCTCAAATCCTGACTGATCAGAGAGAGAGACAACTAGAAGGTTTCTAGGATTGAACTTTTCTCTGGAGAAGAGGGCATGTTCATTTCTTCCATGAAAAAGCGGCTTGAATATATGGCAAAGGGATTCAAAACTCAAGGGTTGATTTTTTTTTGAGGACATGGTGGTTGCTTCTGTCAGAAATGAAAGGGCTCCTCCAGGACTCAAACCTTGGTTGGGCTGACTCTAGGGGCCTGCCACTACATGAAAATAGGGGACATTTTATGGGTAAGGTCAAAACATGATGTTCAACACAAAGTACATCAGCCCAGCCCAGCCATTTGTGTGATGACATACTTGAGACAGTCCCCCCAAGCTATGCCCACACATCACTATCCGTGAGTACTTCTTTTGGACCAATCAACAAGTTAATGTCTATCAACAAGGATACAACAGGACTCAATCCCAAACCCTCATGAAAAAAAAGAAAATACAAATCTCATTGGTCATAGAAATGCAGTCATGCAAATTGGCATGCGCACATCTTAGAGATCGTTTGTCTGTACTTTTTGCAAGTACCTGGTACCTCCTGGGGGGTACCCCTCGCACCCGCCCCGCACCTGCCAGGAGGTGCCAGGTGCGGTACTTGGTACCTATTTTTGTGAAAAATTGAACAGGTACCTAGGTACCTCTACAGGTACCCCCTCACTTCCCTACCAAAAATCAAAATGATGGTGGCCTTCTACTCCAAGAACTCCAAGATCCAAGAAGGTACCTTGGCTGCATGGAAACAGGGACTCAAGGATAACAAGAAGTCTAATAAAAAATCAAAAATGAAGGTGATGGTTGTGGATGACAATGAAGATTCTTCTAATCAGTTATAAGTTGTAGATATTTTCAACTTTTCAATAAATTATTAAATATGAACAAATGAAAAAAGTGATCTGGGACTGATGTTTTAAAATAAATATGAAAAAAATAGAAAAGTAAGATTCTTCCAATTAGATGTAGATATATTACAACAGATATTAAAAAATGCCAAAAAAGTGACTTGTGAGTGATATTTTACAATAAATATGAAAAAATAATAATAATAATAAAGTGACTTGGGACTCTGGGAGTGAAACTAGGTGAAAAAGAGAGGGGGGGTACCTGAGGTACCTGCAACGGGTACCTTGGGTACCCCCTGGGAGGTGTCTGGTGCGGTACATGGTATCTATTTTCTTGAAAAATGAACAGGTACCCAGGTCCGAACGACGATCTCT